CAGATCATTGTCATTATTACCATCATCATTGTAGCGAACCACTCTCGCTCGATGAATACCAGTATTGTCCTCATGATCGATTCGATATTCTGCCATATTGGACGGCGATTGCAAGCCTGGTGACATCAATGCATAGTGAGATGCGGTTCACGGAGGATGTCGGCTCGCATCAATCGCACCGTTCAATTAGATATATAGAGATCCATATATATATACAATATGACTTGCCTCGTTTTAAGGATATATCGTGCATCATTCATTAATATCGTGCCGCACGTAGTTAGCCAATAAAAATTAAAGACGTAAGTCTCTTCCTTGGGTTATAAAAGATTCTATTTCGTATACGTTGAAAAGTTATTGATTCTAACGATGATTCGTTAATCGTTTCGTGTTAATACTAAAGATCTAACTGTCGTATGGCCAATATCCGTATTCTGACGGTGTATTTAGCGTAAATATACGATCGTCTGAATCTCGCGTCACGTTGACGTTAAAAAGACGACCTGTATTAGATGAAATAAAATTAAAACTCGGACGATCGTATTTTCAAGCGCTAACTGTGTGTGCCGTGAGAACACGGTTTCGTGTTTATTATTTATTATACATTTATGTATTCAATGAGTTCTTGCATATATTTAGAGTAATCGAGTGTATACGGACGGAATTCGAAGTGCGGTAATAAAAGCGAGGAGACAGGGGATTTAAAATCCGATTAGTTAGATAATTACAAGGGAAACATTATAGTTAAATGATGAGAGAGACAGAGAAAAGAGAAATGATCGAAAGAGGGACCTATTAGAGTTATATCATCGTTAAATCATTGCACGCACACGCACACGCGCACACACACACACACACACACACACACACACACACATCACACACACACACACACACACATCACGTGCCATATCATCGCATTATATATCAGAGAGAGAGAAAGAGAGGGAGAGAGAGAGAGAAACAGAGTTTAAATACTGTTAATTTTAAGTCGTAGCTAAATATATGCGGTTGTATACATATGCGTAAATATATATACAGCGTGACGGAATCACGCGGGTGGAAATCCAGCACGTGTACAGCATTCATTTGACTGTGATTCGTTGCTGGTCTTTATTCGAGTAATACGACATTATATATATGATACATATATGATATATATTTGGTGTGACAAGAAGAGGCGAATGAATGAATGGAGAGATATGTACGAGATAAAAAATTATATATTATGCATCATGGAATTTGGATAACTAGCGATATTCAACTGATGAATGTTAAATATCAAAGTGAGCACTAAAAACGATTGTCTCGAGAGAATAGAAATAGTATTGCCTTTCTTATTTATTCGCCTCTTCAAATGCACGTAATGTGACAAAATACAGTTCTTGCTGCTACTCGGATATCGACCGACACTATTTACTCGCAGAAATAATTAAGATTTATTTCTCGGTTCGGTCGGAGACTTCGTGGTTTCCAATTCAGTTAGGAAGACGAGGGGAAAGATCGTTAGTGCGAAATCTTGATCATTCAATCATCATCGCCATCGTCATAATAAGCGAGTCACACTCGCGTCGACACCGCGTCTGTTCGCCGTTGCCCAACCGAAAATATCCTTTGTAATCTAATTTTTTTTTCGCATCGACAGTACACACGCACGTGTAAGATATTATCGCAAATCGATCGTGTAATCACAGAATATATTGCACATACAATTGCACATATTATATACATATTTACAAGTGTGTATATACATTATATATACATATACATATATATATATATATATATATACATATATACATATACATGGTCATGATCGCGATCCGTGTTGCTGTCTCACCCGCTCGATCGCAGTAAATCTATTTCACTTTATCTTTCCTCAAGCGATATTTAAATCTATTCTAAAACATATCTAAAACTCAGAGAAAACATACTTTTCCGCCCATTTTCACCGCAAATAATATTTATTATATTATTATACACGATGTCTCTTGTTCTCTAAGCGCGTTTCCTTTAAACTGCAAATTTTTCTCAATCAATTTTAAGTCATCTTAAAAAAAAAAGAATTGAAAATGGAGAGCTTTATGAAAATTTAAGAATTGCAACAAAAATAATATTCTTCATGTTATGTGAAATATTATATTCTTCGGTTAATTTTATTCGGGTTCTAATTTAAAACTCATACAATATTGAATATTGAAGGGGTGATGATATAAATTATGATATATTTATTGAGACAAAAATTTAAAATTAAGTAAAAAATTTTTTAAACAAAGGGCATGCAGTTCGGAGAAACTACGCTTAAGGAAAGATATCTTGTGCAAATATACACAGACTGTTTATTATTGTATCATAAATTGTCTATATCAGCATACTACATATACTAGTCATCTAAAAGGAAAGTGGGAAAGATCCCAAAGAGAAATCCCGAGACAGCCACGGAACGGTGATTTTCCGAACATCCATTATCCCATCGAAATTTTACCCTCCCCCCCCCTCTCCCCACTCCATAAAAGTTCTGATGTCCCACACGTATTTGCCTTCATGTGTTATCATGGCCCTGTTCTTTTTAACTGAACTTCTTGCGTAGTTCATGTTTCTTCCATATCGCTTCACTGAAGAAAAAAAGGAGGAAAGGAACCATGCAAGAAATTCAACTAAAAACACGCCTTGTATCTGTTACGATTAGAGTTGTCAGATTTAATACCATATTCGAGACATGTCTCTGAGGTGATGATTGAAAAATGGATTAAAGTACTTGAATTACATATATTTTTTCGGTTAATATCTCCACATAAATCATAATCCGTGTGGTTTATGTGAGGATACTAACTAAAAATTTAACTCAAATACTTTAAATAAGATTGAAAACAAGACCATTTATGTTAAATACATTACTTTAAATACAAAGCGCCACTACGGTCTGAATGTTAAGATGTTGAACTATTATATATATTCATATACATGAATTAATTTCAGAAATGATAATTGCGTGCCGATATGTTTGTCTTTCAACGCAATCAATCTGAAATATTAATAATCCCCCAAATTTCCGAAATTAATCTTAAAAAACTGTAATAAATTTATTGTGAAAAATATTACCTCGGCCAGGAGTCGAACCTGGATCTCTTGCCTTCCGTGCGACCGTCCTAAGCATTTAGATTAACATTCAGACCGTAGTGAATCAAATACTTCGTTATTTAAAATCAAGTGAAATACTTTAATTATCCATTTTTCAACCATCGCCTCAGACATGTCCCAGAAATGTCAGTATAAGATCTGATAACCCTAGTTACAATACGCTACGCCGTATTTTTTTCGTTTTCCTCTTTTATTTTGCGCAAATAATACAAGTACGCAGGTAAACGGTTTGAGCGAGAAGTAAAGCGAATGAGAATATTCACACATCCCAATCTTTTTCAGAACAATTTTGCATGAGAAAGAATTCTTCAAAAAAAAAAAGACGAAATACATCTTATTTGCCATTTTTCATGTATATTCTTGTTGCTGCGTTGCGATAAAACAAAGAAACAGAAAAGTGGAACTAAAAGTATTTCGATCTTTTTGGGATAACTGTACATAAAAAAGAAAAATATTGTTGTGAAGTATTTCAGATACATTTCGTTGACATTATGTTAGTGTATTAAAAGTGACAGACGAAGACGAGCGCTGATTTTACAAAATTGATTGCGTTGCGTTGCATCGTCGTATATACTTCCGCGTTGTAAATGTTTTTTAAAAAAAATCACATTGCCTATGGTAAAGTTGTTTGTATCGCAAGGAGGCATCGTAGCGGTTGCATTTCGCCCGAACTCTGATCTTCGAAAAAATCTCGTTGATTTTCGAGAAATGATTCTATCAACATCGTTCAATTCTCTGTAATAGCAAGTGATTGTTTATTTCTAGATTATAGCGTAATATGTAGAATAATATGTATAATGGACGTAATTTAGTTAATTATAAGTAAAGCTGTTAAATCAGGTTGGCAGAATCGGTCCGAAAATGCGAAGACGAGTTTGTGCTTATAAACATTCGGACGATCCGGTGCAGCCGCTATCGTGCTTCCAGCGATTCTGTAAAGTAACGAAATTTTATGATTGACGTCCTAAGAAAAAAGTAAACGAGTCACACGTTCGATATGACAATTCTTAATTTCACATTTCCCCACCCATGGTCCATTCGCACACTTCTCTCGTTCCTCGTTTTTGCAATCAATGTACCATATCCGAAGGGTGCTCTTAAAGTGAAATAGCGAAACGAAAAATGAAAGTGAAATTTGCAATGTATTAAGACGGTGCGTACCGTTGAGCGAAGGGTAGAAAGGATGGCTTTCTTATTGGGATAAGCTGCCTCAGGGGAAGGTAATCCAGGGACTCTAATAAACTTATTCGAAAATACTTGCCTCTGAAGTTATTCCATATTCTGTCGCCGGGGCTGTGTCCATGATCCTCCTTTATTCCATCCTTTGTAATACTTTTCATGTAAAGCGATCAGATTATATTAAATTAAATTGAAATTTACAAGCTAAAATATTTTAGAAATATTTTTAAAATACCGACTCTATTCCTACACATTTAAGATAACACATTTTTGTAAGTATTAAAATACTAAAATCGTTTCTTTATAAATGAAATCACTTTCATATTTTATGTCAATAAAACTTCTATCAACAAAAATTGAAAATTTAGTAAATATAATACATCCGACATTTCTCAAGAACACTGAAGTAAAAATATCTGTCATAATAGCATTGTGCTATTTCAAATCACAACTATTATAGAAAATTGATTTATCAAGCGCCAATAAGTGTTTTTCATTTGATGACAAGTTGATATAAGTATCGTTTTGTTTTCATTTTTCATGGAATACCAAGAAAGATACAATGTTTGTGTCAACTTGTGTCATTAAATGGGAAGCATCCAAATATATAAAAATATATTTATATATTATAACAAGGTCCTTTTATGATTTCCTTAAATTCTAATTCAAAACACAAGTAATATTATATTATAAATTACTATAACATTTATTACTACATTTTTCCCAAGGAAAAAACGCATACATATTCACTGTACAATTAAAGTTAATGAAGTACCCTTAATGAAATTCCCCTAATACCATTCATCTTTAGGCGCAGTGATAAATTTTCTGCATTCCTCTGCGAATGTAATTTCTTTCTGTAATAATAAATAATAATCATGACATCTTTGCTTACATCAAAAGTATCTAAATAAATAATAAAACGATTTCATTGTACAATAATTATTCTTCTAATGACGATCAATATTAATTTCAAACAAAATGATCCTCAAGTTAAATGGTGCTTTCCAGTAAGAAGTACAGTATAATAAAATGATCTTTTATCTTTGTTTAACATTGGCAAACAAAGATATAATAATTCACTGACTAATTTCTTTCCAATTTTACATAATTAATACTGATTCAAAATTACACGAGTATTTTATACTCAAATAATGATGCATGTCATTACTAGTTTATTTATCGGTGACAAATGTTATTGCATAACAATACAGATTTTAAAGTCCCGATTTTAATGTAAGTTAACAAGACTCAGTAAAGTACATAGTCTTGAGTTTGTGCACATTGCAGGTAAAAATTTAGTTGAATCTCATTTGTCAGAATGAAAAAGAACATGCATTTCTGGGTTATGATGTCAAACAAATGAAAAAAATCCAAGTTATTGCATAAATGGAAAGCATTGTCTCATCCGTGTCTCTTAGTGAAAAGCACTCAAAATTAAATTGACTACCGTTCGAGAAATCTAAACTTAGAAATTAAAAATCACAAAGGTTACCTTCACCAAATCTTTATTCGGTATTCTCGGATATGGACCAAATGGATCTTTCGCTCCCCACCACCAATCGGTGGCTGTATAGACGTTCAATTCTATCATCATTAATATAGCCGTGGCACCGAGAAATGTTCGGTACATTTTCGAGCAAGTATCGAAGAATCACGAGATAACTATTTAAATTATTTTGTTCAATCAGAGACGTAACGAGACTTCTTACATCAAAACAACAGTGACGCCAACATAGTTCGTTCGAAAAATTCCTAGATGGCACACAGCTGGTCAACCAATTTTATGAAATTTCAAAATTCATTATGAAAAATTGTTTTCGCTCTCCGAATCATCGATTCATTCGACCGAAAATCAATTTTGCATTTTTATGGTTTTAATATCGAAATGTCGAATTTTATCGAAATATTGGTGGCTAACTTCATGCTTTCCACTCGTAAAGTAACTAGACACACGCGTCGAATAAACTCCGCATTGTACCTGTGTAATGTCTTTTCTGCTTAATTATATTGTTATAAACACAGCATTTCAATGCGCGATGAGATAATCTAACGAATATCCGTATATCTGCGTGAGTAAGCATTTTATAGAAAGAGATCTTCTCGAACTCTTTCTTGAATTCTCGTGCGTCCGTTATGAGGAGAAAAGAATTATCAGCGAATTTGATTGGATGGATTAGATGCAATATTAAAGCCGCTACACAAATTGACGTAAAAATATGTGTTTAATATAAATGATATAAATTTCACGTCAAATCAGCAATTTAAAATTTTTTTCGCGAAACACGCGTCTCACATTTTTATCTGTAGAATATGTCAGCAAATTAAATAAAAAAAAGAAAAATGACGATGTTTTAAAGTTGCCCGACGGTTTAATGTGGAATGTCTTAAATACAAAAACCGAGCTAAATCATGAAATCTTCAATACATCTTATTGTACTATTAAGTAAAGTATGTATTTTATAATTCAACATATTTGCATTGTACTTATTACACACGGAATAGGTTTTATTTGCTTGTAAAACCCAAAATTTAAATTTTAAAATGAGATAAATATATCCTTGAGAGTTGAAGAAAAAGAAAGCGAAAGATATTGAGTACAATAGATATTTTTACACTCAGCGTCTCTTTGCTTTCTCTTTTTTCAGAATCAAATATGTACCGGTAATTATGAAAGTATTTTAAGTAAAAAAAAATAAATAAATAAATAAATTAGAATGAAATTATACATTATGTTATAGAATAATACATTATGTTTTGATTTTTTATTTAGATTACTTTTATAATTATATATGCGCATATCTATCTTGTTTTAAGTGGAAAAATTTTTGAGGACTTCAAGCGCAACGCGAACAGACTTAAGGTCTGCTTTCTGTGGCTGAACAAGTGTAAACTTTTGGAACTTAAAGTGAGACAGATATATGCTAGATATTTGTCGAAAGCGAGAAAGAGAGTTGTAGTGCAGTAGCAGAAAGCATTAAATATGCACTAGTGTACAACGGTTTTAATTGGATTTAATATGGACTAGTGCATCCAATCGAATTTGCTATAAATCCGCGCGGCGCCGACAGGTGGCGGCAACGGTACGCGGCGCGGAACGGGAAAAGCCGGCAGGTAGTCGATCGTTGGCCGTCACCGCGCGAGGACGGCGAGGTCGTCCTTGGTTTGACTGTCGGGTTATCCGGTTGCGCGCGACGCAATTGGTCGAACGGCTCTTCCACAAGCCCCGCCTACCAGGTGGCCGTTCGAAAGTGTGTAGTCGTGTTTCCTTGTGGCGAAACGACGGGCGCTGTTTCTCATCTATTCTACTGGACTTTTGGCGTTCAGTTTATAGGAGGAAGAAATCAGAGGGATGAGTCGCATCGGTCTGGTAATATGCGACGGTTGAGAAAGATCGGAGCAGGTGGGAAATCGCGAACGCACATGAGGGTGGTTCGCTGTTAAAAAAAAAAACATCCACGGGGTGCTAAAGCTGTGGTATCGTGTCCGGGGAGGGGGGGAACCTCAGCGATCGCGAGTATACTGTGTCGACAGTCGTGAGAGCGAAAGAGAAGGAGAGCAAAGAGCATACAGCAAACTGTACGGGAGAGGAGGAGGAGGAGGAGGAGGAGGAGGAGGAGGAGGCGACGACGACGACGACGACGACGACGACGACGACGACGACGACGACGACGGCGGTGGAGATGATGGTGTGAGTGTGACGAAAAGAAAAAACACGTTTTGCGAAAGAACGTCTCGTCCCGCGTCGAGAGTTCCGGCTGAAGATATCCGTCATCATCGGGTGTCGTCGTCTTGCGGTGTTACGTTCCGCGTGCCGTACGGCGCGAATATCGCGCCGCGCGAAAATTCGTGCGTTCAACGAGGGGTGGTGAGAAAAGAGACGAGAAGGAGAGAGAGAGAGAGAGAGAGAGAGAGAGAGAGAGAGAGAGAGAGAGGAAAAAAGGGAGGCTGGAATACAGAAACGCGCGCGAGTGCGATAGAGGAAGAGAGAAGAAGAGAGAAGAAGAGAGAGAAGGCGCGTTGTCGTCGTGCGCTGCTTCACGGCGTTGCCCGAGTAGCCAGACGAGCGGAGGACGTCAGCTGTGTGGTGCGCCGAGGGGACGGCAAGTCGTGCGCGCGGGTTGGAGCGAGACGGTGCGGCGCGAGCGAGCGAGACAGTGAGAAGCCGCACACGGCGAAATGGGAGACGAAGAAATGGCGCTGGTGCCAGATGTCCAGTATGGTTTGTCGTCGCACGGCAATTTCGACGAGCGCAAATCCCTGATATTTGTCAAGCTCACCGACTCGTCGCAACGTGCCATCAAGGAGTACCTCAAGATTAAGGTGAGTACGTTTTCTCCCTTGTCCGTCGGTGTTTTCTCGCACGTTTTAGGGAGGCTAGGATCGTCGCACTCGCGCGCGCGTGCGCGCGAGCTCGCCGCGTGCGTGTGCGTGCGTGTGTGTGTGTGTGTGTGTGTGCGTGCGCGCGCGGCGCGCACACATACGTGCACGTAAGTGCGTGCGTGTCACCGCGAGAAACAGTGGCGTGTATGCGCGCGCGCGCGCGCTGCGTACGTGTGTCGTAATATCGTGCCAAGGAGAGAGAATAAGAGTCTTGGCGTGAGACACCCGATCGTGTCGTGTTGCTTGCTCGCCATATTTCGTGCGAAATTTCGTCGCAACGACGTCTTCCCGTCGCCGACGCCTGAGAAGACGTCTTCGAGGGGCTCGGTTCTCCCTCCCCCCTTTCTTTGTAACTTCCCCTCTCTTTAATTATTACTCCGCTCCCTCCTCCATATGTCTCTCTCTTTCTTTCTCTCTCTCATCTCTCTGTCTCTCCTTGCAATCCGTTCTCCTCCAAGATCACGTTCGAGAGATCACTTGATTCTTTGCCGAACAGCTGCTCTCTCTTTCTCCTTTTCTTCCTCCCCTTTTTACATTCGTTACAAGAAGAATTTTCTCGAAGGCCGGTAAACTCCGAAAATTCGACACGCTTCCCTCCGTCTCGGTATGTGGTCGCCCTTTTTCTTTGCGGCTTTGTAACAGCGGCGCCGAGTTAAGCGAGCGAGTCGCGCGCGATGTCGACATGTCTGCTACTTTGACAACGACAAATTACGTAATATACGAGAGCGCGAGAACGAGCCATGCAGAATAAAAAAAAAGTCCACCCCGTGTAACAGGATTCGAACGCATTTTCGCGCGTACGGAATCTCCGACGAGATGATACGAGAATCTTTTCCAAGTCTCCCGAGTACTCGTCCGAGTAATCTTGCGCGAGGATCTTGCAAGGATCCACCACGAGAGCGTGAAAACAAATGAATCATCTCTTCGCGTAGTGTCACGTCGCAGATGGCAACATTTCTGCAAGTTAATCTTCTGGACGCGCTCATGTGCGAATTTTCGTATTATTTTTGTATCCTCCCGTAATTCTTAATGATTGTTAAATACCGTGTCGGCGATTCGGGCTGACCGAATCACCCGGGCTTAAAAAAATTGTAACACGTGGATTCTATCTCTCGTTCTTTCTCTCGCTCTTTCTCTCTCTCTCTCTTTCTCTCTCTCTCTTTCTCTCTCTCTCTCTCTCTCTCTCTTTCTTATCTTGATTATGATACCCGCTATTATGCTTTATTATGCCTCTTGATGCGATAATTTGTTAACTAGTTTGCAGGAGAGGTCTTTAAATTTTTCATTTCTCGAATATATCAACTTGCGCCTTTTAAGAGTTGAGACTCTCATATTCGTTTACTGATATATTATTTTCTTTCCTGAGTTTATTTTTAAAAAAACATACTTTTTATAGTTATAATCTCTCTATTCTTATAATGTATTTTATACAATGTTTTTGACAAGCGCTGGAGGGGACTGTATCTCGGAGCGCCCAACAAATTCCAATTCAATCAATCAATTAATCGGTTTTTTTTATTACAATAATATTTTGCTGTATGTTTTCAGTCGTTATTATTTTTTCTTTTTACTATTAAATTTGATTTCTTATTTGCAATCAAATTTGTTTTATCAATTGTTGTTTTGTTTAACGCTTGAGAGAACTTTCTAGACTATATTCTAGAGCGTTCGAATGAATGGCGATATCTGTTTCTTTTTCTTCGTCCGCCCTTTTTATTTTTACAACTTGGCGATTTTCTGACCGCGCGCGTTTTAAACCGAGGAATATACGCGGTCTAACGAGCATGAAGCGTTGTAAAGCGATTGCGAATTCTTACATCAGCTGATTCTAACCTCCCGGACGAGATTCGAAAGTAGAGGAGCCGTGGCACAGGTGGGGCGTGACTTCGTCAAAATATCGTCGTTGAATGTACGAATGCCTTTATATCCCCAAGACCCGCGAGATAGCGAGAAATTTCGTATGCAACCTCGTCACTTTGAGTATCGTCGATATCTCGTCTTTTTGTTTCACTTTTATTACGTGACTTGTAATTCGCCTCCCGATGCGAATTGCGCTGTACACGTTGCGGCGACGTGCCGGTAAAGCAACCGGAAAACGATCTCGATGTAAAATAACAATTTCGCCGTTCGGTATTTTCAAACAGGCGAGGGAAACGACACTTGAAATCACGCGAAAAACGACTTTTCGTATTATCGCGATAAATATTTATTTACACGCTGCGAAACCGATCGCGGAAAGTTCCGTCGCGAATAGATTCTATGAGTTTTAGAAGCCGTGTTTGCTCAAACTCGTTTAAGTAATGAGATTTTAATGTTTATCCCTACCAGTTCCGGATCATTGAATCACTAACTACTTTGATAAAATAATGATAACAATTGACATCACGTTTAAAATTAACAGATAGCAAAGTCACACTTTAACATTTCATCTGCATCCATTTATTTCGATTAATATAAACATCTATTTTAAATAATCTTAAACATCTATGAGAAAGATAACTTGAAATTATCACCGAGAACTTGAAGTTATCATGTCGAAATAGATATCTCTTTTCGTTAATTAATAATACATCAACGACATTGAGAATTATCTGCTTAAGGCGTAATAAATTGTTGGTGACAAATTGATAGTATATCAAACAAAATTAAACACGTGAAGCATCTTCATGAATCGAGATTTTTCCGCTCCGACATTCCGTCTACCAGTAGCGACCAAACATTTGAATGAACGATCCTACGAAGAGTTTAAAAGTGCAACAAACGAGAGATCTAAACAGAGAGAGAGAGAGAGAGAGAGAGAGAGAGAGAGAGAGAGAAGAATGAAGAAGGTCGTTTAAAAAAGCGCAACAAGGTTCGAATCCCTTATGCTCCCAAGGGCCGGTTCGACTTGCTGCTGTGTCGGCTGTATCTCGTAAGAAAAGGGGCGTTCCCCTTCGAGAAGTACAGCTGTTCCTCGAAACTCGAATAACTCGAACCGAAAGAACCGGGCTATATAACGACCGCTTGTATGTATTTTATAAGCGGAGAGAAAATCCATCTCTCCCTTTTTATTACTTTCTTTTATTATCCATCTTGTTAATCTGAAGGCTAAACGGAGTATCATGGCTCGAATTGTTATTCAGATTAAAGAGATAGAATGATAAACATTATTATTGTTGAATGAAAGTGATTTGATCGACACCGTAAACGAGTTCTCTTCTTACATTTATTTATTTAATTTACCTAAAAAGAATTTATGATATGTACATCGAATTCTAGAATATATACGAAATTCTTTAAAGTTATTGCGCTATTAATAATATTTTTATCGAGCTCTTTTATTTGTGTATGAAAAAAAATATATATTTTTTATCAAGGCCTTTGCTTGTAATTTAAATATTTTATATTTTCTTTCTTAAAATAATCTTATACATTGAAAAAGTTAAATGTCAATAGCATTATTTTAATTGAAAACAATTTTGTTATTTCACACATAATACTGTTAATAAAACACGTTTTATTCTCGTTTCAATAAAATTTTATTTGTTTTATTAATACTGTTGTTAAATCAGCAAGATTATTTTTTAATTAAAATAATGCCGTTGATCTTTTTTTTTTCAGTGTATCTACAGAAAATTTTGTAGTTTGAGATTTTCAGAGATAATTTCTCTTGGAGAAGTTTTTTATTTTTAAAAGAAAATGTTCTAAAAAGAAATTTCTTAGAAAACATTAATCATTCGAAATACCTCCTTTGGGAAAGCTATTTCTAAAAGAAATAACTAAAAAGAAGAGCTGGACTATTGTAATGATTCCCTGTCCATTGTAATGATTTTGCCTGACATTTTATCTGACCCTTTCTTCCCTTTCATCTTTCTTTACAATTTTTCTCATCTTTTTTTTTTTGTTTGTTCCCAATGTGTACGTTTCGTTGTATTTAAATGACTATTTCTATGTTAATAGCGATTTAAAACATCAATAATCTTTTTTGCAAAGAAGTTTTCCTACAAAACTGAAAATGCTGTGAAACTTTCTTTAAAATCTTCCAAACTATAAAATCTTTTTCAACTGTTTATTTTTCCTCTCTTTTTGTCTGTGTTCTTTCATAATTAAATGATTTTTCATAACAACCACGTTACGTGTTTTCATCGCATAATAAAAAAATTACAAAATTTTATAGATAAGAAACGCTCGAACGATAAATAGGACGTCACGGTAATAAATAGGAATCAGGTTATCGCGAGATTTTAAGGTTAATATAGATTTGAGCGATACGTAAATTTATTATAAAATCAAATCACGATTCAAATATTCGCGCGTGCGCCAAAATTCTTTAGGATTTTTGTTTTTTTTTTTTCCTTTTTTTTTCTCTCTTGTGTGCGAAAAAATACTCTGCACTGCTGAGAGACGTAGAACGCAGCGAATGGAAAGTCAAATGATATTAACGCTCAAGATGTATTCTTCGTGGCATATAAAGTACACATCAGCGTCGTTAAAGTAGCCTCGGTAGAAAGAGAAAAAAAAAGGAGTGTATGTCTCACCTCGTAATCGCGCTATTAAATTGGCGACTTACATACGCCAAATGCCTCCAATTTATCCGCTTGGTATAGAATAAATTATGCGAGGTGAAAGTGAATGCCGTCTGTGCAAAGTCGTACCTAGGGGGTTTTGGACGGGAGAGAGAGGCAGGTACGCTTCAAAAAGCAAAGCCGATCGTTGAAAACCTTGAAAGTGTCTAACTGGTCTCGTAATCTCTGATGCTGATTAGAATTTGCTCGATGTATAATATATATAAAATATTTGATGTAAAAACAGGTGGTTGCGTGTCTCGTAAACATTATTCACAGATAGATTCACGTAATGTGAAAGAGAAAAGATGTGCCATTTTAAATATCACTCGGTGTTTATTTCGGGATCTTATTATTCCATGAAAGCTGAAAATAATAAATCAATATTTCCGCAAC